AGGATCCCCCTAGCTACGGGCATCTTGCTTCATAGCCGCAGCATCTGCTTCGCAGCCGCAGCATCTGCCCGGTAAAGCGTCCCAATATTCGCGATCGTGTACGCTGTTTCGAGTCTTACCCCGTAGTCCTTCTCCAAAGCACCCACAGACCACGTCGAGAGAAGCGTCGAAGCCCTGCAACATCGTTAGCTTGCACGCGCGACCGTAGTGTGCTCCAGCCCAAAGCTGGGGGCGACCCCTCCGTCTTTTTTATCTTCAAATAGTGAAAATACCTGTGCCCAGGAGTCAAAGTCAAAGTCCCGCTCGGTCTCCGTTCTATACTGCGGGGCTACAAGCGGCGAAGAGAAAAGCTGCATCACATACTCAATCTGAGGCGAAATAGGGACCATCGTTACACAGAGTAATGCAGTATGGCCCGCCGAAATCAAATCAACGCCATTCATGGGCGGATTGCGCCCGAACTTAGCACCGATAGACAAATTATGCTTGACGATAAGCCAATCTAAGATCCCCGAGCCAACCTCAATCGATACATTTCTGGTAAGCAGGTTTTTTAAGGAAGAGTGAAAGCCCTCAAGTTGGCTAGTAGATATCACGCGAACTCGATGACCGCCTTCCTCGTAAGTATTTGAGCCCACGTACAACTCGCCACGCTGAATCTGCTCCAAATTACTCAGACACGACCCTTTCCAATCGTTCAGGCTGCGCGATACACTTGAGCGCAAAACACCGCTGACTACACTTTGAAATTGAAGAGCCATTTCAGCAGTAGGGCGCAATTCACGAGCCACATTTTAGATCGCACGGGAGAGTTCCTTTGAAATTCGTTTGCTGGTGACGGGCGCCTTTTTTCAGTGATGCGAGATATCACGTGAAAGGGGTCCTGTTTTGTGACCACCTCGCTACCAAACACTTCTGTGACCATTTTCTTGACAGCCGACGCGTTATCCGACACAACTACATGATCCAGGTCATCCCCAGAAGGCGCACTAAACTGCGACTTCACATGTTTGTAGCAAGGCTCGTGTTTCTTCCTCGTTTTCAGACCTGGTCAGCCGCCGCCCAATAATCTGCCCAATTTCATTCTGGAACAGCATAAGCATTTTCGCATCTTTGAGAGATTCACGTTGCCTCTTGGCCTTCCACAGCTTTAGCCGCTTGCAGAACTTGACAGAGTGATCCATTGTCATGACCCTCTTTACAACACAGTCTTTCATCACTTTTTCACACAGCGACCAGTACATCTCTGTAGCGTGTAGCCATTTCGTCGTAAGCGTGTGATTGTCAACAACTTTGTTTTGATCTGCATACTGATCCTCTGGGGGCCAGATAGGTGAAGCAACGCTCGTGGTTTCGCTTGATACAACTGGAAAACAGACCCAAAAGCTTGTAGTAGCGCTGTGCGCCTACGCTCCATATTGGCCATGGCACGTTGCAACCCATTCTGCGCGGTAATACCGTCATGAACCATCTCCATGAGTGAGTTCGAGAACGCTGGCTTTTGGCTCAGAACAAATGGAAACTGAAAAATCATATCGGGCCATTGCGCAAAGTAATCCGAGCTCACAGTGGAAAAATATGATCCTGTTACAGCGCACCTATACTTCACAAATACCAGGTCGCACTTGCACTCCACAGATTCCACCACACGACGGCAATAGTCTTCCACCTTCGGATTGCAGTTGCAGTCTCGGCTGATGCACGACGTCAGACCTTTGCCTCCTCGATACTCCGGGATCCACACAAACAACGGACGTGAAAACAGCCGCGACAACTGCATGTCATCCACCTTTTCCTCAGGATAAACTAGACGGGGAGGGAATGAGCGCCGTCCAACCGTCTCGACCACTGCTGCCTTGTTATAATTGCGCGCTGCTGACAAGGCCATGCCTACTGCGAACTCCTCAGCTACAAGTTCTCGGTAAATAAAGGGAAAACGGCTGCCCCCCCCCCCCCTGGCAGCTGCGGCCGGAGTTCGGAGATCTCACCTAAATTTATCGGAGTTCGGGGGGCCTGTCGGCCTCCGAATCTCCCATAAATCCTCCAAGGGGTGGGAATACACCAATTCCGGATATCATAAGCCAGTCCGCCTACGTTTTAACAGGAAATCCCATATGTAACTTACGTAAGTAAATACAAGAATGCATTTTGTTCTAGGAAGCTTGCGCACGCTAACTAGAAAATGAACTTGAAAAGCTCACTTAATGTAATAAGTCACTTTGGATGGCAGCTGACGTGCTTCTCTGAAGTTGTATATGCTGTACAGCTGTCGTCTCCTGCGATGCGCTCGTTGAGGAAAACTCGCAGCGCGAGTCGCACGATACAGTAACTGCTTGATTATCCGTAGTATTACTCTGTCGGAGGCCGCACAAGGTGTTTCATTGAAGGGGCTGAGCAGCAATCATTTGGCAAAAAAACTGACTGGGCTGCTTGAAAACGCGCGAATATGCAGCTCACTTCCACCAGTTCCCAATTTGCCAAGAACCCCAAAGCCGCCGCATCAACTCAAGCATCGATGAAGTTTGTCGTCTCCTTCGCTCTTCTTCTCGCTGCCGTGGCCAACATTCCCAGCCCCGCTTCGGCGCAACTCTTGAACCCACCGTCATGGCGATGCCCGGTGGACCCCTGTGGCCCCACCGATTCCGCGAAAAACAAAGCAATCCCCCAGTGCTGCTTCCAACGCACAACCATAATTACTGACTGCTGTCGTGACAGCTGCGTGTTCGGCAGCCCGTGCAGATACCCGTGAGGACTCAGCTGACCGACTCCGCGATACGTACGAGACGCAGTCGATCAAGTCGGGGCTTCTACATGTACAACCCGCGTCGAAGTAAAAAATGATCTCCCATCCCAAATTTACCGAAGAAATCTGAACAAATATTTGTTTCGCGACGCATCCTCAGCAAATTAAATCAACATGTTTCCCTGCCTTCATATGCCACCACGACGCAAAAAAAAACAGGATTGTATGCGGAGCAGGTAAGCAGTACCGTAAGGCTTCTGTTGAGAGGTTTTATTGTTTGATCTTAGGACATCCATGCAGTCCTTTGACGATCCTCTCCACTATTTATCAGCCCCACCGCTTGGTCATTAAGCACGCGAATCACTCCTGGTCGAGGTTTCGGAAACTCGCGCAGATACTTCGCAGAGGCCGTCCCTGCACTTTTCATCGATGCAGCTGCTTGCGCCACAGTTCTCAAGTTTCCTGGCGTAGCGGACGCCGCTCTTGCACGTCCAGCCACGAGTCTGGGAGGGTTTGCGACGGCTCTCAAGGCTGTGCTAGGACGCGCCTTCAGCTTCTCCTCAGTCACATGGCCATCGATGCTGCCGTTTCGACGGTTCACTCCAGCTTCACGCGAGGCACTGGGATGTAAGGAACCTCCGGCTTTGCCACTCGTGACCGACGTCCGAACTCGAAGGGACGGCGTTGACAGTGACGGCGTAAGATGCTGAGCAAGTAGTAGATAAGTGAGCGGTAAAACTTTGGGGAGAAAATGGTGAGCGGCAACTCACCGTTCGAGGAATCGCAAGTGCCGAAGCAGAAATCGGCGACAGTTGAGGGATCGAAATCGGTTCAGGCGGAACCTCTTCATAATCACGAAAGTGAAGCTCCGACAGTGGGGAGGTGGGATAACGGCCGAATTGGAGCGGTGAGCCGAGCGTTGATGATGGAGGCGAGTGAAGCTCGTGCTCGGATGGAGCATTTAGTAGTGCGTCGGTAGCTAGACGCTGCTGAAGCTACAGAACATTTGCAGATTGGTCAGCATAGCTGTCTTACCTACCATTCGTATGTTGTTGGACTCACATCGAAGCGCTTGCGGGACATGGTGGTAGCGTTCTCGACCCACTCGGGGCCCTCGACGACAGATTCACCCTGCATGAGCACCACCCCTGAGGCGACACTCATCGTAGCTGGAAGCGTTGCAGCATTAAACTCGCTGCCATCAGCGACGAAAGTGCGGCTTGTGCCACTTCCGGGCTCCTGCTCGTAACGCCAGAGACTCCTACTGCTGCTCCACCCGTTGTTGGAATTGTTACCGTACAGCGACTCAGAGGACGAGGGTTTTCTTGTAAGCTTGCGTCGTGAGAGCGAATCGGTCAGTAGCGTAGTTTTCCGCTGCTGCTGAGTCGCCGGTTTCACATTGGCGGATTGAGACCTTCGCTTAGATAAACGCTGTGGATTCTCCGCTATACTGTGAATCTCAGTTGACATGGGTTGTAAGCTCCGAGCTGTAGGCTCCAGAACGGCACTTGGTCGGCGGCTAGTTCGCCGCGTAGAGACAAAATCGTTGTTCTCTTCGACTATTGGTGGAGGCTCTTCCACCTCCGCCTTAGGGTCGAGGATTGAAGAGAAGCTGTCGACATTGGTCTTCATCCGTACGGGGGTCGCAGCAAGCGCCGCGATATTGGCAGGAGGAGCTGCGATCACCCCCACCTCCATGGAGACCCGACTGTCTGGGATCGCGAAAGCTCGCGCAACCGTGACCCACTTGGACAAACTGCTCTTCTTCGTTGACGTCTCGAGACTTTTCAAGCACTTCTCGCGCCATTCTTTGATTTCCTATCCGCATCCACAGTATCAGTTTCTTTTTTATCAGATGAAATACACCGAACAAAACCCACGGGTTTCTCGTCGTCTTGAAACTCGGTCTCGATCGTTTGCACGGGAGGCGAATAAATCGCTGTGGGCTTCTCAGTTTCGACTACAGTATACAGTGGAATGCAAATTAACGCCAGCCTTAAAAAAATAACAAGGCGCAGCTCATTACCTTTGTCGACTTTCCGCCTTCGTCTCGAGGGCAATCCACCTGCTCGGGATCGAAGTTTTTCCGGAGAACTCCCAACACGCGATGCCGGCGAGGACGAAGATTTTCTAACCATCAGAGCTTGTAAGGTCGATGCGGGCTTTTCGGGACTCTTGGATGGAACACTGCGCACAGCATGGCGATCTTTTAGCTCAGCTTCAGGTCTGCTCTCGGCTTCGAACCGGTGACTATCCAGCGCTTGTTCAGCGCCAAGTGCAGCGGCAAAAACTGTATCAAGAACATTGTCCCGGAGCCGAGTGCTGACTGCTCGAACCGCTTCTCGAGCCAGACATCGCTGCTGGTAGTACGCTTTGGTCTCGGACAGCAGGAACTCGACGCAGCTGATAGCCACAGCTTCGCTCTCTTCTTCGTCCACCGCCGCGAACTGAAGCAGCCATCGATCTACTGCTACGATCTCCATAAAGCACAGCGACCAACCCGGACGCCAGCCGAGACGTAGAAGCTGCAGACAACGCTTACTACCTCACGCCGACTATTTTCGGTGCAACGACGGGCTTGACAAAAAATAGAGGCGAACGAAGTTTTACTTTTTAAAGAGTCGAGATCCCATCACAATTAATGTATCTGCTGCGATGAGAGTCCAATGTTGAAGGTATCCATGCCCTACATTACCTAAAGTAAAGAAGGTTGTCACGATAAATTACGTACCAACCCTTGCTAGGAAACCTCGGCCAACCTCGGCAGCAGCCACGTTGGTGACACCAACAGCAACTTGGTGTCACGCATTATGTGCTCTCAGAAAAAAACTATACTATCAAACTCTACGTTGCAAAGTATTTACGTATTTTGCTTAGTCGATGTCCCATAATAATGTGACGTATGTATTTTGTGTGCACAAATTAATATTAGGCTAGATACATTTCAATAAGAAAAAAATAACTCTTTGTCGCTAACAAGTGAAGCGGTGTCTGTACCACTACGTGGCATAAACACCGCTTCACATATCATATATCTTCACTAAACTGCACGTTTAGATGTTTTTCATCATCAAAGCGAGTTGTCGGCGGAAGGATATATTCAGAATTTCGTTCAACTAAACTCTTGTGTTTCATTGTGCACACCAAACAGCCGTCCCAGTTTAAGCGCAAGTAAGTCCGTCACCTTATCCGTGGAAGAGGGTGCACGACCGTCGCAGTTTTGTGTCTGTTTGAATTGTTATGGGCATACCGATGTTGTTGACGGGTGAGTACCCCGCCAACTTTAGTACCCCACTCTCCTTAAAACATGGAACTTTATTGCCAACGTGAAGTTTCTTGTTACCGGCCTAACATAGGGAGTGCTATTTGTGTTTTCTGCTGAGATACCATATTTTCCTATCTTTTTTATAACTAGCTGAGCACCTCGTTCACTGCGCTTCCTCGCTGCTAATTTGGGGCGACACTAAATATTGTGCTCTACACAAAATTTCGCGATGCACCCCCCCCCCCCCCCCAGAGCCGATCGAAACCTTTTCATACAAGAAAGCTTAACAGCTTGATACGCTGAGAAATCATTTAATTTGTCGTCAAACTTCATTTAGTTGACCTGTAGTGCTAGGAGTAAGCGAGTGTATCGAGATTGTGTATCAACACTTCACACGCATGCCTCATGCGCAGACCTCTACCAATACGGGAATTTCCGAATTTTTCCTATATCCTGGCGATCACTGACAGAATATGGGAGAAATTTTGAAGGTTCTACATCGTTTGAAGTGCTTTCTTGGAGCTATCCGCCAGTGTTGGTAGTCTGTTCGATTTGCTTTATCTGTAACTGTTGTGTACTTTGACGTAGCTGCTTTGTATAGCAAGCTGCATCAATTGCTTGGTCGGTTTTGCGGTCCTCCGCTGTCTAATCTTCTGCTGATCGATTTTGATAACCTGACATGTTCCTTTAGTGCACTACTACACCGTTGCCGAGCCCTGGAACTCTCGGTTAATCTTACCTCCGCGCAAAAGTACGCTGAAAATAGTTGTACTTTTGAAAACGAATAACGGTAGGCAATTGGGTAGCAACAGGACAACAGGAATAATGTTAATTTCTCAGCGCTTTAGCAACACTTGCATTAGCAATCCTTTCGCTGCAGCTGTTAAGCGATGTGACCCGAATCTCCCTTACTACGCTATTCTTAAAAGAATAGCTAACGCCACATTGGCTGTTCGTGAGGTAAGTGCCCTAGAAGCTTACTTCATGCTGCTTCGAGAATTAAAAATGTATGGTAAGTCTCGTAAAGTAAGCCGAGTGAAGGTTTTGCGTCATCACTTGCGATATTACCGAGTTGAACCAGAAGCCTTACGGAACTTGGGCATCGACAAACCGCCTCAACCCGATAATATTAAAATTGAATCATACGAAAAAGCCTGCATGGCGCGTCCTCAGGAAGAACCGTTCAAGTCGATGTCATATGCTAGCTTTGTAGAGCACTATGCGGTAGTTGAAAGCGTAACCTCAACAGCGAAGTATTGGAAGCGAATCGATAATCTAGGTTTTTTACACAGCGTCGAAAAGCCCAAGTTCTTCGTATGTCGCCATGGATGGCACCAGACACATCAAACCCTAACTTTTGTTTTGCTGAGTTGCTTTTACACGTTCCTTGGAGACACTTAAGTGACTTACCGATTACTGACGATGACTGTATTAGTCGGTTCTACGACGAACAAAATAAAAACCTCGACAATGAACTCCGAACTGAAGTGAATTTAAAGGTAACGAGGCAATGTCAATTAAATCTTCTGAAGAATTCTCGCGAGAACCAATGCTGCACTAATCTGCCCCCGTCCGAGTATGTTTTCATTGAAGAACCTGATGAGCACCTCAATGAGCATGAGATGGAAATCGAGAGAGATAAAAAAACTTATTGCAGATCTTCATACTCAATGGAAGCCAAAGCACAACTACTCTAACGAAGACATTAATAGAGCAAGCGAATTTATGACAAAATATGTGCGGCCATGGGCAAAAAATCAGCGAGAAGCATTTCATTTCAATTTACAGCAATCCCCCGATCACAAAAAAGATTTTCCAAACCTTACGTCGCAATGACCACGCAAGAAAACGGCCCAGCTAAGCTATTGTCTCTACAGCAGCGCTTCAGGGATATACACCTGGTAATAATTGACGGATTTAGCGTAATATCATGTGGAATGCTATATTGGATAGACCAAAGAATGCGAGAGATATGGCCTGATCAGCGCGAGGTCCGATTTGGTGGAAGAGATGCCATTTTCACGGGAGACAGTGCCCAGTTGGACCCTGTAACCCCTTACTCTCTAGCTACATCCACAGATAGAATACGTGACAATATCCAGCGCAAAGGACGCGAAATTTGGGAGGAAATTAAATGCGTATGCTCGTTAAGCAGTCAACATAGACCCGGAATGGTTTGAAGCGCTACGAAGATTGCGAGAAAAAGTACCAACACAGCAGGACATTGACCTTTTTAATACTCGATTCTTCAAAACCAACGCAATGCCTGAGTGGGTGCATGCTGCGAAGCACATTGCATACCTTAACGCAGATGTTGATAGTGCTAATGACGTAAATCTGCAGAATGCTTCTTCTCCAATTGTGCACATAAAGTCCGTGCACAATGTGAAGCAAAAACGCTTGATCGCAAATAGAGAAGTACCTCAAGGCACAGTTAAAGCTCTTTTAGATCAGGCACAAGAAAAGATCCCAAGGAGAGACCGAGTTGTACCAATCCAACTCAATTTAGCAATTGGTGCTCCTGTCACACTTACATTTAATGCTGAGCAAACAGCAGGGCTATGCAATGGAACGAACGCTACTGTGTACGACATGATCTTTGTGTCTGGATCAGAACTTCCTATCGTTTTGGTTGAAATAGTCGATGAATACTTTGGTCCATCGTTTTTACCAAACGTACCTAACATTATCCCCATCATTCCAAAGGAAACGAGTTGGGGAAGTACAAGGAGTGACTTTAAAGTCGTTCGCTGTGGCATTTCGTTAAGGCTTGCCTACGCTATGACGATTCATAAGGCTCAAGGGCTTACATGCTCAAAAGTCGTATTTCATTCCAATTCACTGCCAAATGCATCCTGTGCATACCTTGCTCTTTCCCGCGTTAGAAAAAGAGAATATATAGTTCTTACGCATCGTTTGAGTTTGGAAAAGCTCACAGCGTCCCCAGAGAGTCCATCATCGTTTGACACTGAAAGGGATCGCATCATTCATCTTGTTAACCAAACTACACTTCATGCAAATATTTTTCTAAATAAAATGAAGACGACAGCACTTTTCCACAATCTCGATATGTCGCCAAGATAATAAAAAGAAAGCATGTTGGCGAGGCGTCCAAGTCGACCCAAGTTCACATTGGGTACAAGCACCGCGAAAACAAAACCTGGCAAGGCAAGCCTCATGGTTGGATTCGGCTTGGAGTCTCACACTCGAAGGTCGGCCGTCAATATGGGCTGCGAGCGAGTATTGACGTGGCTCGGAGGCGACCTCGATCAGCAACGTCCAGATGCAGCAGCGGCACAGTAGTCATCGCTTGGCAGATACAACTACGAATTGCAAGGGGATCTGGCGGTGGGTGTTGTCGCGGTTCTCTTCCTCGATGTGCGTGTCTACGAGCACCCACGGAGCAGGCCAGTTGACTTCGCGCACCCGAAGACGGTCCGTGAAGGCGTGTCGACAACACAAGGTGGTGGCGGGCGGTGACGGCTGTGCATGGTTCGCCATCGCTCACGGCTCCACGGAGTAGCTAGCGTCTTGCAGCCAATGCAAGCCTCAACGAAGCTAGCTATTTCGCGCAGCAACGTTTCCGAAGCTAAAACAGGGTCGCTTGTTTATCAAAACAGAGTATCCATTTAGCTAAAACAATGCAGTTTTACGCCAAATCCACTTTCCAGAGCCCACAGCCCATATATACCCTATTTGGAAGGGGCCTCCTACAAGACGGGCCTCAGTTTAATGGCTTTCGCACCCTTTGCTAGAGGCTAAACCCCTGAACTTCTATGTATATTCACTCGGAACCGTCGGACAGTGAGCCTGAAAGGATCTTATACAGAGGTAAAATGCAGCATTTTTGCCCCTGGGAGAGGCAATCATTAAACCTTTCCCCAGCCCTATCCATAAAATCATCGAAAGAAAGTAAATCAGAGCGATAAAACAGAGCGATTTCATTATAGGGGGGCTTCGCCCCAATTATCGTCATTACTCTAGCAGTGCCTTATGTAACCCGATTGAATATCTTCCCAATTAATATAAATCTTCGACCTAAACCTTGCACCTAAGAGTTCCATCTCAGTTCCATCTCAAACGCGCTCCCATATCTGCTTTTATTCTTATTTTTGATGCAAATCGTTTACTCTCAAGTTCACGCAGCATAGTGTCCAGAAACTCTGCGGTACCTACCGGTATGGCTCTCGTTTTTGTAGCCCACATCTGATAGTGCCCCAGCCCCCTTTTGGTGGTGGTTGGGGAACTAATGTGCATTTAGTAGTACCCCATGGGGCACAATTAAAGGGTTTATGGTAATGCCCTATTTATCGAGGGTCCATTTTTGTGCTTCGTTTGCTTCGAAGAGCAACATACTAGTATTATCGACAAACATAGTCGATTATTATCTGGTACATACATGAATCCGAAACATAAGTCTCCTGCAGAATTGTTGGTCCGTTTCGCGGTACCGGTACTGTACTCTATTTTAGGAGGCTATGATAAGGATAAGATGGCAATTACACAAGCACGTTCGCAGACAACATTTCTAAGGCAGTCTAGTAAATTAAATTGAGTAGGCTGATCCTGCGAACAACCTCCAAAAACCGCGATGTGTGGACGATTCCAGGCTTTCCTCGTCTCTGTCGCTTGCATATCCAAGCCGACAAAGCTCATGCTAACACAAGAGCTTCTAGAACTGCTAGTAGCCGGATTAAGAACCGCTACGAATTCTCGTAGGCAAGAAAACAGAATCTAGCAGCACTGTAGAGCCACGGTAACACAACACAATTCAATTTGCTCTTTGCTAAGTACTGGTGACCACAAAGTTAACTTTCTGGAGGAACCAGAAGCCGCGTCAAGAACAAGAAGGACAGGCGACCGCTGCAGGACAAGTCGGCCTGTGAGGCACGAAGCCGACCAAGAAGCAAGATGACTACGGATGCTGAAGGCGACGTTGAAATGACTGTACCGCAACCGGTCTTCGAGGTAGTGCAGGCGCCGGGACCAGGCGTCGCTAGTATCGTGGATGCGACGGCGGCGACAGTATGAAGCAAAACTTCGCAATCGCTGTGCAGTCACGGGCGAGGAGTATGATCACATCGTCACCTCCATTCGCAACTCGATCGAGCCCCGCATTCTCGATCATCTTGCCCGCTTTGTGTTGAAGAAGCAGCCTAGCGCCGTGACGGATGAAGACTTAGGCCTAGCAATTACACGCCGGTGCTCGTCGCTACAGAATAGCCATATTCCCGACATGGACCAGCTTTTCACCGAGCACCTACGCATGGACCTGCAGATTGAAGACACTGAGGCCCGCATTTTGAACTATTTCGTGCTTTTCGATAGGATCATTGAGGAACATGGTCTGAGTGGAATTCTCGGGAGCGGTCGTGAGGATGAGGCTACCTACGGAGAACGCATGAAGCTGCGCTGTAAGGTGCTGTTGAAGCACATCGCTCCGGAGATGTTGAAACTGGAGATGGAGCGCCTGGTCATCGCGCGTCCGGTGCTGAAGAAAGATGACATTGCGCTGTATGAGGCCTTGGTGGAACGTGCTCGTGGGCAGCAGCACTACCACATGCTGGCGAAAGAACTGAAGGCGGACAAGACGCGCGGCCAGAGCTTGCCCAGCCACAGCAACAAGAAGTCGCCTCGTACAAAGCAACTGACATCTACTAAGACACGGATGCGTCAGCCTGCAGGACTCGTTAGCAGTAAAAGTCCGAGTACCAAGCAAGGATTGCCAATCAAGAAAGAAACCGTGCAGACTCGAGCGCCACCCCGAGATGGCTGCCTGGTGTGCAGCGGCGCACATTGGGTTAAAGATTGCCCTACAGCAAGTGATGCAGACAAGGAAGCAGCACTTCAGCGCATGAACGACATGAAAAACCAGCGACTACGGGCCAAGGCGGTGCGGTCGCTCGGACCACTGGGAGAAAGGGTTGCTATTGTGAATGAAGTACTCGAAGTACCTTTTCGTCCTGACACCGGCGCCGAGTGTAATGTCATTACGAAGAAAATGATCCAAGAACTGGAAAAAGCGTCAGGTTCAGCAGTGTCGATGGAGATGCTAGCAGTACCGGTGAAAGTGGAAGTAGCGGATGGGCGATTGGTGGAGTACTTGGAGAAATGCAACCTTGACGTGCAGCTGCTGACTGCGGCAGGACCTGTGCGACTACGCCGTTTAGAGTGGATAGTGATGGATGGCGAAGCAGATGAGCTCCTAGTCGGCGACGAGACGTTGAAGCCGCTAGGAATTAATGTTGACCAAATGCTAGAACAGCTCGCTGCTAAAGTTGAGCATGAAGGCGACAGTGATGACATTGTTGAGGATGATATTGTTGGCGTGACGAACCCGGAGGAGGTCGACACTTCGACGACATGATTAGGACGGCTGTCGAGAATGGCTTTCCGCAAGACTTTGTGAACAGCCTACACGATTTGGTCCGACGTGAGCTGGATTCGTGGAGAACCAAGTTGGGCGCGGATCCACCGGCGAAACTGGAGCCTTTGCGCGTGATGATAGTTGATGATGCGGTGCCGTATCGTACCAAACCACGGCAATATTCAGGGGCGAAGACCCAGTTTCTCCGCGAGTATGGCAAGCAGCTCGAAGCGTTTGAGCTCGTCTACAGGAACAACCAGAGCCGGTGGGCATGCGCAGCCATTCCAGTGCGTAAGAAGGGACCGAAAGAAGAATTTCGCTGCGCTAATGACTACCGCCCCGTGAACAAGCGAACAGTCCCTATTACTGGAGCAATGCCGAACCTACTAGTGGTGATCGCTAAGGTGAAAGGGGCCTGCTTCTTTGCCACTTTCGACCTTTTTAAAGGGTTCTGGCAGCTTTTGCTCCATCCGGATTGTCAGGAGTTCTTCAGCTTCATCACGAACGATACAGTCTACACACCTACGCGAGTGCCTCAGGGCGCCACCGACTCTCCGATTCACATCCAGAACCAGACGCAAGAAGTGTTTCGAGACATGCTGTACGAAAATGTACTGATCTGGGTAGATGACATCGTGGTCTTTGCGAGGACTGTTGAGGAGTTGTTGGAGGTGTTGACGAAGTTATTTGAGCGCCTGCGCCAGTATGGCCTCAAGCTCAACGCAAAAAAGAGCTGCCTGTTTGCGCGTGAAATCTCCTGGTGTGGGCGCCTCATTGACGGTACTGGTGTCCGCCACGACCCCGAGCGGGTGGATGCTCTTTGCTCGTTGCCGCTTCCTTCAACTGCTGCAGACTTGCAGAAGCTTTTGTGTGCGGCGAATTGGCTTCGGGAGTCTATCGTAGATTTTGTGCAGCACGCAGCTCCCTTACAAGATAAGCTGGAAGAGGCTTTCGCTGGACACAGTCGCAAGCAACGCTACGCAGAAGGACTCAGTCTGGCTTGGTGCGACACCGAGCAAATGCAGTACCAGGAGTTTTTGCAATACATTGCGCGATCGACTAAGCTGTCGTTCCCGAGTGAGGAAGCTGTCATTTGCGTCACGACCGACGCGTCAGACCGAGGTTGGTCTTTGATCGTTTCGCAAGTGGAGGAATGGGATAATGCTACGGGGATCACGGACCAAGCTCATGAGCTCATTTTGTGCAAAGGAGGAACCTTCAAAGGTGCCCAGTTACATTGGTCAATTGCAGAAAAAGAAGGATACCTATCATTAAGGCGGCTAAGTATCTCGAATATCTCCTGCATCGCTCGCGCGGATTTAAGCTGTTTTGCGATCACGCAAATTTGATTCAGATATTTTGATCAAAATCGTGCGGACACGAGCGTCCACTGCAATTTCTAGGCTCCGTCCGCTTAGTGACGACGCGTTCGTTCACTGGGCAAGTTGGTGCATGACTTCGTTGCAGCGTGCTTGCTGTGTAAGCAGGTTAAGGGCGGACTCATTATCCAGAGACCATGGAGTGAGCACCGTGAGCCAGCTGCTCGCAATGAGGTGCTGCATTTTGATTATTTGTTCATGGGTGAGACCTACGGGACGACGTGCTATCTGTTAGTGCTTAAAGACGAGTTGACTCATTTCTGCGAATTGATTCCGTGTGACTCGCCAACAAGTTCTGTGGTAGTGGCTGCAATTCTGGATTGGGCGAAGCGCTTTGGACTTCCTGCCATGTGGGTTTCAGACAACGGAGCTCATTTCAAGAACAACCTAATGGAGAGCTGCGAGAACGCATGAAAGCGTTGCATACTTTCGTGCCCGTGTATACCCCATGGGTTAACGGGACAGTCGAGCGTCTCAACAGGGACATACTTCAAGTGATGCGTGTGCTCATTCTCGAGTACCAGCTTGACACGAAGAGCTGGGAGTATCTCCTCCCATTAGTCCAGGCCAATTTGAATCAGACCCCAGTGGCTTCACTCGGCGGGAAAGCCCCGCTAGAACTTTTTACGGGTCTACAAGTGCCAACGCAGCTGGACACACTGCTACTGCCTCGAAACATGCAGAACAAAGACAAACTGATGAAAATTGACCTGGATACGGTGGAAGACGAGATCAATGAATTGCGTGAGAGTATACAGGCGATGAATGCTGAAGTAGAAGATCGCAAGGAAAAGACAAGGCTCTATCAGATAATGGCGAAGCGCGGTCAGCTTGAGAATTTTAGTGTCGGTGACTACGTTCTATGGTCGAGAGTAGACCAGCGACTGCGTGGGAACAAGCTGATGGTGCGATGGGTTGGCCCATATAGGGTAATCGAGGCTCGCGAGTTCTCGTTCATGATTGAACATTTGCTGACGGGTGAAACGATGGAGGTTCATGGTTCGAGACTCAAGTTTTTCGGCGACGCCAGCATGGACGTGAGCGAAGAGATTCTAGAGCACATCAGCAAGCAAGGTATCGTCATGGCTGTTAAAGAAATTCGAGAGCACCATTACAACAATGTGGCTCAGCAGTGGGAAATGCCAGTGTCATGGCGAGGTCTCCAAGATATTGAAGATTCATGGAAGCCTCTGACAAGCCTTTTACAGGACGTGCCCGTGTTGGTGAAGGCCTATGTCGACCAGCACGGAGATGACGAACTCCGAGCCCAACTACCTGACGACGAGTGATGGCCAACGGCAAGCCATCATGTTACAGTGCATGTTTCAAGTGCGACAGACCCTGGGGAGGCAGTGTGGACGATTCCAGGCTTTCCTCGTCTCTGTCGCTTGCATATCCAAGCCGACAAAGCTCATGCTAACACAAGAGCTTCTAGAACTGCTAGTAGCCGGGTTAAGAACCGCTACGAATTCTCGTAGGCAAGAAAACAGAATCTAGCAGCACTGTAGAGCCGCGGTAACACAACACAATTCAATTTGCTCTTTGCTAAGTACTGGTGACCGCACAATGTATGCACATACGGTAAGGTACAGTATACTTCATGTACTTAGTATTACATGTAATACATGTAGCACAACGCATCGATCTCATCCTGCGCGTCTTCTTCAACGTAATGTCTCAGTCGACCCGCTCAAAAGTTGAGATGACTTAAAAGGTTGATACAGCTGTAGTCAAGTCACTGGCCGATAGTAGCTACAGTAGCTATTGGAACTTGCCGGAGCTGCTACAACGGGGTCGAAACAAATCAGTTCTCAATTCGCCAAGTCAACCAACCAACTCGCCCAGCCGACCGATCGCCAACCAACTCAGCCATGAAGTTCGTCGCCTCTATCTTTGTTCCCCTTGCTGTCGTGGCTGCTGTGCCCAGCTCCACCGCGCGAAACTTGAAGAAGAAGCTGTCAAGTTCCCGAGGACATGCGGACGTGACTGTGGCGACGCCAACTCCCGCAGTAGCATCAACATCAGCAAATGCTGCAACGTGGCCCCCACCAAATTCGAACTCGACCTGTGCTGCGCGAAAAGTTGCGCGTTCGACTCTCCTTGCAGCGGACGGACCCCGAAGTAGACGAGGAGTGTGAAGCGAGGCAAGAATAGATAACTGGCGCTTACGCCTCGCAGGACTTCTTTCAAGAAGAAATACATGCAAGCCCAATAGTTTGGCCTAAATGCTGCACTGCAGACTCGGTACGAATTGTTTTGCTTTTGCGAGTGACAGGGAGAAGGGCCTTCAGACCCCGCTGTAATCTCCCAGCATCAACCGCCTTGTTTGCTTCCGACATCGTCAGACACGCCTCTAAGTCATACAGACGCAGCCCTTTGTCCGCTGCCGTCCTGCCAGGAAATTTGGATTAATCTCGACAGCAGCCACCTGGTGATTGTTCCAAGCCTTTTGGTGTCCAGCAATGTGTCCCAACGTATTTACGTATTTTAGCTAAGTTGGCGTCCTATAATAACTGTGGCGTATGTCTTATGTGGTGCACATAATAATAGGTCAACTACATTTCAATACCGGTAAGAAGAAAAATAACTTCGTCGATTGCGATGTGGTCTCGACTGACCGAGGGGCTGGTGGACATAGTGGCGCCCGAGGAGGGCCAGGAGCTGGCGCAAGGGGACGACGACCAGCTCTGGAGCCGCTTCGCCGCCGTCGTGGCTCCCCCTCCTGCCCCCGCTGCCGCCTCTGAAGCCCCCGGGGCGCCCGCCGGCTCGGAAGAGGACGAGCAGGAGCAGTACATTTGCGAGCTGGAGAGGGCCCTTCTGCAGCGCAAGAAGCAGAACGAGACGCTGGAGAAGAAAGTGAGTCCAAAACGGTTTTAATTTCTTATAAAATTATTATTAAATTTTATGGATTTTTTTAGGTTCAGGAGCTGGAATCGCGAGCCGGGGAAGAGCGTCAACTCAAGAGACAATTGAGAGAGCAGGTGTGTGGATGAGGATTTTACTTCTTGTAGATAGATAGATTTTAATTATTTATTCATCACAATTATTTTGTTCTGTCTTGGTGGTTGTGCAGGAAGTGGAGATTGCTCAGCAGAAGGCCACTATTGAGCGGCTGCAGACCGCACGGAATGATGCCGTGACAATGCAGGCTGAAGAGGGGCAAGAGTCGGGCACGGACCGCGATCGGCTCGTTCAGGAGCTGCAGCAGGCGCAAGCTGAGGTGCGGGCTGCTGGTGGACGGACACGTGTGTGATTGATGTACTGATAGATTTTGTAATGTTGTGGGTTCAGGCTGATACCCTTGCTGCTCAATGCCAGGCTCACGAGAAAGAACTAGTTTCGCTGCGTGATCGGGTGGAAGAGTTGCAAGCAGCGAATGAAACCCTGCAGGATGATGAGCGTGAAGCGCGTTCGAGAGCAGGCGAGTACGAGCAGGGCTACATGTACCTATTGGCGGAGATTGAGAAGATGAAGGTTGTCAATGAGGAGGAGAAGGCGACGTTGATGGCAAAAAGCGAGGAGCATGCAAGCTCCATCGATAGTCAGCGGTTGTATGAGTTAGAGGCACGACTGACGACGTCTGAAGCGGACAAGGCGGTGGCGCAGCAAGATGCTGAGAGATTACAGCGCGATCTGGATGCTCTCGAAGGTGTGCTGCATCAGTTCCAGGTGGATAGCAAGGCACAAAGAGAGCGTGTTGCTTCGATGGAAGCGGAGCTTGAACAAGTGAAGAGGGAGTTGCAGAGTCGCCAGCCACTTTCGGAGCCTAGAGAGGGTGAAGATAACGACTTGGAGCGAGTCATGGAGAAACTTGCGAAGAAGACGCACGAATGCGAACAGCTACGCGAGGTAGGAAGATTTTTTGCCGAAGTTTTTGCTAAGTGAGCTAACTGCCATTGTATTTTTTCGTGTTGGCCAGGCGCTTGAGAGCACAGCAACTCAATACAATTCAGAGCGGGACGTGCTAGACAAGAGTCTCGCGGCACAATTAGTGGTGCGTTATCTTTCAGCTTACTACGTCATTGCTAGGGCTTTCAGTTGAGTTTTCTAGTTGTTTCGCCTGACATTGGTTCTGTGCTCGCTGGATATAGGTGGCATATGTGGATAGTGACAAGAAGGGGGAAGTACTTCAACTCATGGCCCGAATGATGGTACATCCACGCTACACTTTTATACCTTCGCGATAGAGACTGACAACGAGCTTTTTCTTCAGGGCTTCACCGAGGAGCAGAAACGGCGTGTGGGAATTGGCTACCCAATTGAAGGCAATGGCGGTGGCGGCTTATTCTCATCCATTATTGGTCTCGTGACTCCAGGTGAGGGCGGCAGCGCAGGTACAACCATTGACCCATCCACTGTGGAAGGCAAGAGCTTTGCAGATATGTGGTCGGAGTTCTTGCTGGATGAAGCATCTAAAGGTCGGTAGAATGCAACGCCAGGAGTTTTGGTAAAGCTGTGACATGTTTTTCGACAGGTTTCTCTTGCGCATCGCTCTTGTTTTGTTGCCATACATCGCTAGAATCCTTGATGAGCATGTCGTAAAGTGGGGTCCACGAGTGGATAGCGAAGTTTACTTTGAACAACTACGGTTCAGCGCGAACAAATTGGCTTAGCGCAACTTTCACGTGCCATTTTTGCCTTGATCGAAAATCGCAGTGTTTTGCTGCAGGCTGTCACCACTGACTCACCAGTTTCATGAACCAGACTGGCAAATCGGACGCAAACCGCTGTGTTCCTACCGTGCAGTTGTGCTACCGTACAGCGCATTGTCCGATTGGGCTACTGTAACTAAAATCGAGGACCCAAGTCTCCTCGTTTCGATGTTGGGTCACCCAAGTTTTACCCAGTATCATGTGATGCAGAGAAATCCTTGAGCTTGGAGAAAATGCCAATTGCAATGTTTATCGATCGGTTTAATCGTGTGTATCTAACCAGCACGACGGCAATGGCGTGGCGCCGATAACCTATTTCTCATAATAATGGCCCATCAGAAATATTTCGTGATCAATGATCCATTTTTTGTACAGTACGATGCAGATTAGTGTTGGTTTGTTGTCGCACAACCGACGACGAAGTTGCGGTTGCCGGTGGTGACAATACAGAGCTGACAGATGCTACATGTAACTGCGAACAGAGTGTCCTTTTTCCAGAGTACACGTATGTAGGCGATTGAGTTGGATGGAAGCTCGTCACTTAAACTACCTTGCAGGCTGCAACTTGCAACCCTGAAGAATGGATGGTCAGCACGGTAACATCACCAAACTTCTTTTTCCCTTCGATTCGGGTAACCAAGAAATTATGCCGCCTTATTATCCTCATACATGTACGAGCGTCACGTCAGCTTTTGTATTAGCTTGAATTGCCACGGGCATGTAAGCTCCAACTTTCTCGATATTTGTACCAATTGGCGTTTCAGACGCAAATTTTTGCTACAAGTATTGGTGCTGCAATCAACAAAAAGTCAATTCACATTGAGGCCAGCAGAAACGAAACGTCCATTAAAAGCAATTACTTAATTACTTTTTTTCGTATTCTACAGGGCCCACAACAGGGGTTTACCACTACTGTGTGTCCCTAGCTCAATCGTTTGTTATCAAGGATCCATTTTAGCAATGCCGCATGCTTCGACGTGCAACTTACTGAGTACATGTAGTAATATTACATACAGGCACATACCATACCAGTTTATCTGGTCCACGTGCTGGTTCGTTGGTCTATTTTGTAATACATGTACTGTAAGGCCCTTACTAACTTACATGCTGTACATGTACGTTTGGAGGCTACGATACATGCAAGATGGAAACACAGAAACACAGCTCGTTTGCTGACAGGATATTGGTAGCAGTGCTACCGTAGCACTATCAGCTAGTGCACTCTAAGATTCACTCGAGCAGAATATGCATAATAAAACTAACCTGCAAGAAGCGCAACACATGTAAGTTACGTATATAATAGGTACGGTCCACGTCAGCTCAACACAACTCATCGAACTCATCCTGTGCGTTATCTTCAACATGTAATGTCTCACTTTCCCCGCTCGAATGTTGAGAGTGAAAGAATACCGCTGCAATCAATTCGCTGGACAATGGCAGCTCGTCGTTGAGGTCCGCTAATATGAACGGCGGGGTCAAATCTATCAGTTCCCGATTCGCCAAGTCAACCAAACCCGCCTCGTTAACTCAAGCGACCAACCGCGCAGCCACCAAGCCATGAAGTTTCTGGCCGCCATCTTTCACGGGGACATGCGAAGGTAACTGTGGCCCTGCCCGCTCCCACAGTAACATCAACATCAGTAAATGCTGCAGCGGAGCTCCCACCAAAGCCCTCTTCGACCAGTGCTGCGCTAAAAGTTGCGCGTTCGACTCCCCTTGCAGTGGAAGGACGCCGAAGTAGATGAGAAGTGTGAAACGAGGCAAAACCTGCTTTAACCGGCGCTTATGCTCGTCGGAGTACACTGGGCTTCATTCACGAAGAGATACATACACAAACGCAAACAGCATACTTAACACCTGCCTCATTTTGAAACTTTCATGTTATTATATGCTTTGCGGTTAACGCTGGTAGCACTCAGTGCGAGCGCGGCATCAACCCCGCACACCGAGTACCTCTCCCTCTACCCAGCGGCTCCAGCCATTCTTTTTTTTTTAAACTTTCAGCTTTCGACCCCCCCCCCCCCCCCTTGCTCTAAGAGATTCGCATTTAAACAACCTAGGTACCAAGATTGTAGAATGAAGGAGCTCAGCGAATTCGTCTTCACGCGCTCAAAATGAAAGTCGCTGGCCGTCATAGTTGATTCTTGCTCTTTGAAGAAGAATCCAGCGACCAGCATCCTGATGAAAAATACTACTGTAGTAGTTGTGGTGAACAAACTTTAGAAGTAAATGTAGACTTTTAAGCATATCCAAATCGGGTACGCCTGGAAGGCAATTGTGCATGAAGCAACTCGCCCCTCATTTATGGTGTGGTACACCTACCTATTGTGTGTGGCCCACCTCATGTATTCAACTGCAACTGTATTGGTAATCCTTTCGATAGGATGCAGTGCTTCACAGCCTCAGCTTCTGCTTCTTCAGCTTGGGGATGCGCATCTTCAGTTCACGTGTACCACTACACTAGACTGCCCCTAAACTGCCGTGGCCACGTCAGCCGCCAAGATACTTTCGGCGGCTTGCGTTTCATTCCCCGAGAAGTGAACGGCGGGTCCACTCCGGCCCATTTGCAGCAAAGAAGAATGCTGGCTCTGATCCGCCGGACGCGGCTGCGCCCTCGCCACAATCGATTCCAGAGCGCTGTGAGGATGCAGACCATCGGAGACCAAACGTTCGTGAACCCGCGGGACACGCGCCTCGCATTCGCCGACATTATCGTACGTGGACGGTCAATTGATACGAAACCAAAGGAGTTTTTGTCTAATGTAGCGTTGTTGGTACAATAGGGGGAGGAGAGTCTCAGCGGCAAGTTGATCAGTGCTGGACCCGTCCTAGAGCGCCTCGACATCTTCGGAGCTGCTGTCGCTGAAAAGTACGTTGGAAAAAAACAGCATTTAAAGCCACGAATTTGGGCTAACCCTTTGTTGTTGTTAGTGTGGCGTGCAAGGGTATCGCGACGATTTCGGTCGATCGGGTGGATTTCAAGAGCCAAATTGCTCACGGAGACCTCGTGCGGCTGGAAGGCGAAGTAATTTACACGGGGCGCTCGTCCTTGGCCGTCCAGATCACCGGATACCGTCACGATATCGAGGCGGGCAAGTTCATCCACACGCTGAGCGCCATCATGACGTGTGTGGCGCTGGACGAGAACATGCGCCCCAGTCCGGGGCTGCCCAAATTGATGGACCCGCTGGACCCGGAGTATGTGCGGAAACACGAGGAGATCGCCGACCAGCGCAAGGAACTGGCGGCTCGCTGGCGCGCTGTGCAGGAGGAGGTGGACCGGTTGCCGCACGTGTCGGTGGACATGCTCAAGACGTACGACTACGGCCGGTCGCTGGAGGTCCCGATCCCGGACACGCTGATCGAGGTGCAGAACTCGTTCCTGCCCAAGCACCTCAACCGCAACAACACCATCTTCGGCGGGGAGGTGCTCACGTGGATGGACAAGGTGGCGCTCTACTGCGCGCGCAACTTCACCAAGAACCAGAATATGGTCACGGTCTCCATGAACCGCATCTTCTTCAAGCTGCCGATCACCATGGACGACATCGTCACCATGCACGCGCGGGTCAGCAGCGCTCGGTACGAAATATCCCATGAATTAGGCCACGAAGAGGCTCTTTGACTCACGATTTTTTTATCTTTCAGCCGCCACCACTTGGAAGTCGAAGTCGAGGTGTTCGTCGGCCGCATCGGCTCCAAGGAGCGCCGCAAGTCGCACACAGGGTGCGTACTAAATCGTTGTTATCGTACTGCCTTCATGTAGCTAGGTTAATCGACTGACTTTGGTTATCTCTCTGTGTCTGTGTGTGCAGCTACTTCACGGTCGCGAACCTGGATCGGTCGTACCGCATGAAGCAGATATCCACGGGCCTGAAGGTGGACGAGAGCGACCAGGAGAGCATGCGCACGCTGCTCAAGGCCCAGCACCGCTGGCTGTTCGACGACGAGGAGCGCAAGCTGCTGACGCTGGAGCCGCTGTCGCTTTCAACGCCAAACTCCACCAACTTCCGCTTCACGCCGTGAGCTCTCAGCTGGTTGACTGCATACGTCGACAAGATGTAGACAGAAAACAGCCGAAAGTGTCCTAGATGATGTGAAAACGCAATGTGCGATTCTCTCCCCTTGTGTCATTCCTGAACTTGTCAAGTGGCTGTCGGATGCTCCGCGTCCTCTCGAGATCGTTGGCAAACTCGTCCCTCTCGCAGCTGCAGCGCTCCGCCATGTCGACGGCAGCAAAAGACTCAGTGACAGTGCAGCAAACGCGTCTGGCCTATGCCGACACCTTGGTGTGTGGATTCTACCATAGAGACTGACTGTCAATTTATCAATAGCTGATTACTGAGACTGTTGTAGGGCGACGAGCACTTGCGAGGGAAGTTGTTGGGTCTTGGGCCGATATTGCACCGGCTCGACAACTTCGGTGGAGCAGTAGCGGAAAAGTGCGTGGTGGTGGGGTGTCGATATGATGGAGGGTTCTGAGCTGACTGGTTTGTCTATAGTGCAATTTCCAAGAAGGTGGCGATGGCAGCGCTGGAGCATCTGGAAGTGGTTAAGCCAATCTTCCATGGAGACGTCGTGCGCTTCGAAGGCGAGTTGATCAACATCGGACGGTCCTCGCTGACTCTTCAGGTAAAGCACTATTGCTGCCTCCGAGAGCCGTGAATGCTGCGTGCTGAAGTATACTTTGTGGTTGCTGCAGGTCACCGGGTATCGCCACGATGTTGCGACGCGAGAGTTTGTCCACGCTCTCGATGCGATAATGACTGCAGTGGCGCTGGATGAGAACAACCGCCCCTATCGAGGACTGCCGGAGCTGGTTGACCCCAGCAACGGAAGCCGCATCCTTCACCTTCAGGAAGTTGCGCGGCAACGCAAAGATTTGTCGATACGCTTGAAGAAGATGGAGGCAACTGGTCGACAGATTCCTCCATCTTCTACTGTGCCTCTGGACATGCTAGAGGGCGCCGGTGAGTGGACAAAGCAAGTGTCTGTGAAAGACACTGAGGTGGCGCTGGCGGCTTCGTTCCTGCCTCGCCATTTAAACCGAAATGGAACGGTCTTCGGCGGGGAGATCCTCTCGTGGATGGTGCGTGGTGCGTGAGATTAGTCGAGGGAAATGTAGCTGATGGTTGTGATCTGTGAACTTCAGGACAAGACAGCGCTGTACTGCGGCAGAGTCTTCACCGGTAACTCCAACATGGTAACCGTGTCTGCAAGTCGAGTCTCGTTCAACTTGCCGATCACAACGGATGACGTTACGACTGTGGTAGCACGGGTTTGCGGCGTTCGGTGAGTATCTTGTAGTGAAAAAGAATTGTGACTTTCAGGTAGAGAGGCTGACCAGGCTTTGTGACGCGTTGTTTCCTGCTTACAGAGATCACTATGTGGACATGGAAGTGGAGGTTTTCCTCAAGAAGTTTGCATCTCAAGAATGCCGAAAGTCTCACACCGGGTACGGGTGCATCACTTGATTTTGACTGGCTGCTGGCGCCTGTATAATCGCTAACTTCCGCGTTTCGCGTCTTCATCAAAGCTATTTCTCCGTTGCGAACTTCAATGCTTCGGATCATGTGAACCGTGTCACTCGAGGCCTGCGCACGAACGACGGAGACCAAAAAAGCTTGCGCGCATTGTTGAAAGCTCAGCATCGCCGTTCTATTCGCCTAGAAGAAAAACGACGTTTGCACCTTGAACCACTCGAGCTCTCTTCGATTTGTGGCAGCCATTTATAAAAAAATTGTAAACGAAATGCTACGTAGCAGGCATCACATTGGTGTTGAGTGATATCGGTGTTCAACCTAACCATTGTACTGTAGTCTCTTCGCGCTACAATAACCCTTTACAAGCCTGCCATCCACAAACTGAATCCACTCTGAATACTCATTATTAATAATTTATGTAGCTACAAACATGAGAACGAGAGCTATGCATAGGCTGGGATAGCAAAAGAACTTAGTGTGAGCATCTTCACCGCGGCCGCGCCGTCACTATCGCTATCGCCATTAGCAACAATTCAACGAGAAACAAAGTCGCGCGCGTTGCACGAAGAAGCTCTGAGATCTACGACTTACCACAGTATTTGTGGCATGTAAATTTGCGTTTCCATTACAACGCATCTCCTGCGCCTGCTTCGCAGCCGCAGCATCTGCTACATTGACTTAGAGCCTATCAGGATTTTTTTATATTTATGAGCTTTTCGCCCGTCGACCATTATCATCTTCTGCAGACGACGCAAACTTTTCTTTCTTTGTTCTTTTAGTAGCCACCTCAGCAACGTAGTACTACTGTAGATGCACTTGAGTGCGAGGGGGTTAAAGAGGTGACGGATCGTTCGGGGCGTACTTGGTGCGTGTGCTCGGCTGGAGGTGCACCGCGCGTTGTACTTCCTCACCTGTCAAGTAATATTAACACATGTAGTTGAATTTGCATCACTTGATGTGTGTGTGGACTGGTCCGTCGCTTTCGAGCTGTCTTCCATCCATCTCGAGCTTGTCTCGGATTTGAGATGGAGAGCATAGACAATCAGTTAACTTCAGTTACCGGGGCCAGTTTTCCGGCTTCAGTATTACCGGCTTCAGCTACCGAGGTGCCGCCTAATTAATCTGTGTTGGGCTGGCCACAGCACTCCCTCCGGGGTTACTGCTATCCCAGAAAAAAACTGCAGTACTATATGAGACCGCGTCACACAAAATTATGCTCACGAACCTAAGTATACGAATCGCGATTTAACCGCGTAAATCGCAAGACCCTGTCTTGTGCTTCTTTTGAGCGACATGTACTGAACACGTTGAGAACTCGAAAAGCGACACCAGTCTGAAAAAACTATCTCCACTTCCGGACCCCCGAAAGTCCAGATTTTATTAGGGGCACAATATTTCTTCAACTTTTCGGTGCTGCACATTTATTATCGTGCTAAAACCAAAAATCGAATTGAAGTACTTTCCGCTTCTAAGCGTGATTTTCACTTTCAATTTTTTATGTTCGGTTAGGGTAGGTACGAAAACCGATTGGTCAACAAATGGGCATCATTTTGTTTGACGCGGTCTCATATGTAGTGCACGAGTACATGGCGAGCTTCGACCGCATTGACGTGAAGATCACGACATTCCCCCCAATAGCTGCATTTATAGTAACCGGTTATCGATCGTATGCAAATTATGCAGAAAGCAACTGGCTATGCAATTTGCAAGCATGCTGTTCTGTCGTGATGCTCATACAGCTTGTATGTATGCAGGTAGAAATCTCCAACGGCAATACAGTACAGCACGCATACATGTACATGTAAGGAGAGTGCGAATGGATCTGGATAAAGCGAAATGAAGGGCGAATTGATTACTGCTCTTCCTGTAGTACCGTACATTTTTGCCGACAGTGCTCATCCACTGCATCGACAATCATTTCTTTTTTTTTCAGCATCGAGCAACTTCAGCTCCTCTAATTAAAACATGAGGCGAGCTTGGACGGGATTAGTGACCCTTCTCGCCTTGGTGGCAGCTACTTCTGTGACTTCTCAAGATCTCGCACGACCTTCTTTACCTCTTGCAACTCCCCGTCGACAACAAGAAGTCTCTCCAAGAACTTCTTCCCTTCGTTGAAAATCCACGTTAAGATCAAGCGGAAAGATGCAAACTTCCACGGACAATCCGAGTTCGACGTATTCGCGAGCCCTGCCGTGTTGACCGATGGCACCAGTCTGCGCTACGACGGCTACACCACGTTCGTCGAAGATGGCACCAAGTTCACGTACTCGCTCGTCGGTGGTGCAAGCTACCTAGCGACCAATAAAAACGCCGCTGACACTGAATCAGTTCAGTGTCTCCCTTCGGGAGCTGTCCCGAGTCGGAACGGCTCGGACCGTTCCAACTCTGCGTGGGCGACGATGAGTGCCTGAGGTCGTCCACCTGCTGTGGCCGCGGGCGAGAAGTAGTGGGCCGTGGGCCGGGTTGTCTCGAAGGTGGAGACCCGTGGGCCGCTACCCAGAGGTATCTTGGAGGGATGATGTGCCTCGCAGTGTCGTGGCGGGACTTCGGGGACGGATGGCATGTTGGGTGGCTTTGAGAGGAAAGTTAGGAGTAGAAGGAAGGTCAGTCGTGAATTTTGTTTAAAAGGACCACACAGGTCGTATGGAACACTTATTGCATTTTGCTTAGTGATCTCCTTGCTATTTGTTCCCCATAAACCTATAAGCACAGGCAGCACTTACTACTCCAATACAGCGGCGGCCGGCCCCAAACCGGTCCGACAAAGCGACTCGCGACACGTGGTGGAGAAGCAGGGTAGTGTTCCCGACTGTGGAGTGAAAAGTGCTGAGAGCCTGTGCCCGGAAGTGAACAAAGTCAAGAGCCGAGCGTCTGGACCTGGTGACTGGACGTGTGACCCCCCTCCTCGTGTTTAAAGTGTGCCAGGGAAGGACCCAGGAGTCCGCACACGAGTACACGCCGCGCGGGAAAAGCGGCGTCGAGGAGCAGTGAGAGGAGCGATCCAGGCCGGTAGGACAAGGGAACGGTAACGTAGACACAAGAGCCAAGTGTGCACGGTCAAGAGCAAGAGGTCAAGTGAACAAGGAACGGTAAACTGAGAGTGGACAAGGAACGGTAAACTGAGAAGAGAAGATGCCAGGAGGACAATGAGGAAGAGGCGGTAACGCTGAGGAAGCAGCACGCCGCCGGGCTGAACAAGAAGAAAGAGCGCGTGCAGAGCGCGCCGAGGCAGAGCGTGCCGCGCGGGCCGAATCAGAGCGTGCCGCTCGAGCAGAAGCTGAGCGTGCCGAAAGACGTCGGCAGAGGCCCTCGACACCGGCTTCCGGGACGCCGATGATCGGGATAGCGCCGCCGCTGTCCCAGCGACCGAGGGCCCCGCCGCCACCCAGCCAGGCTGGAGCGGGCGCACCGGGCCCGGTTGAAGAGGGATTGAGGAGTCTGGAGCGGTGGAGGAAGACCGCTGAGTATGCTGAAGAGGGAGCGTCCGTGTCGGATGTGATGCGTGAGCTCCGAGAAGATGAAGAAGACGACGACTATGAAGAGAAGGAGGCGGTCAAGACGGAGACCGCGACTGGAGTCCAGCCGGTGACCTCGGCTGGAATGAAGACGGAGACCGTGGCGGAGGCCAAGTCGGAGCCCGCCGTGAAGGGCGAGCCGGAGCCACCGGTCTCGAGTCCGATGGGACGGTCGAGTGTGGGGCAGCCCTACGCTCAGCCGACGGACTATGGGTACGGCTACGGGATGTACGCCGACGACGAGGAAGACTACCACGACGCGATGGAGGAGCCGGTCCCGACGCAGCGAGGCCGGAGTGGGTTCATCACACGCTACACGGGTCCCGAGGCCCGCCGAACGGATCGCCCTGCCTTTGGATGGAGCTGGAGCGCTCAACATGGTTCGGGGAAGGCCCCGAGTATGGAGGATGGAGTGGGAGCGGAAGCGCGGTGAAGTCGCCGACCAAGTCGCCCCCTCCGATGAAGAAGTTGCAGTTCGCCGGCGGTCCGGCTGGGCTCTCGAAGCCGCTCGGTGGCGGAATGCCCATGCAACCTACAACGGACCCTACGGCAAGTCGGACGCCTGGAACGGGTACGGCTCCGCCGGCTCCGACGGCTGCACCGTCGACGAGTTGGCTCGGTGCCAGTGGACTTTCGCCGAGTGCCTACAACCTGTCTACGATGGTCTCGCACGCCGTGAAGGTGCTGCCGATGTTCCATTCGGACACGGCCACGGTGGAGAAGGCGCGGGACTTCTGGGAGCTCTTCGAGGACCACACGGACGGTTTCCCCGACCGGTCCAGATTGCTGGTGTTCCGTCAGAAGCTGCGAGGCCGCGAGGCTGACCGGTGGTGGAACAACTCGAGGATCATGTCGTTCAGGGCGCTCAAGGTGCGGTCCCATAACCAGCGCCTCAGCCGGACGGCTGACAAGCTGTGGGAGCTGCTAGAGAACACGAAGAGGCAGCGCGGAGAGTCCGTGGAGGAGTGGGGTGACCGAGTCTCGGACCTGTGCGAGTCTCTCGACTACCCGAATCCGCAGATGCGGTACCAGCTCTTCCGCCGAGGAATGCGGAACAAGCGCATGCTGGCGACCTTGGACGCGAGTCCCGCGTCGGACATTCCGGAGGCGTGCGAGTGGCTCATGTTCAAGGACATGCACCGTCCGATCGAGGCGGAGGACGAGTTCTCGGACAGCGAGTCCAAGAAGAAGAAAAGAAGTCGGAGGAGGCCCCCGCGACGACTGCGGTCGAGGCCCTCGCTGAGCAGATGAAGTCGTTCATGGAGCAGCAACAACAGTGGCAACAGCAACTTATGCAGCGCCAGTGGCAGCCGCCTAGGTCGCCTCGCAATCGAGCGCCGGTAGTGGCCGCCACCCCTGCCACTCAGCCCGCTGGAAACGGTCGTGGGCCAGGGAACGCTCAGCCATTCCGGGGCATTCGGATGGGCGATGATAGTCGCACGCAGGACGGTTGGCCTGTGTGTGGTCGCTGTAACGTCATGGGACATGGTCGCGCTACATGCAAGCGCGCGTCGATGAGCTGCAGGCGCTGTGGCGCGTTTGGTCATATCGCGGTCGAGTGTGACAGGCCCCAGAACGGTGGAGGGAAACTGCAGCCGCGGGGGGTACAAGCTCCGTCTGGTTGTGTTTTCTGCCAAGACGCGAGCCACTCCGTGATGCAGTGCCCCGTGTTGGCCGAGCTTCGTGATGCGACTCCGAGTTTGCTGAACGCGGCCGCCCAGAGCAATCCGACCCCTCGACAGTGACGGGGGCGGGAGGAAGGAGACTCCTTTCTCTAGTCTAGAGGATGGCTCAGGGGGTGATCGTAGGAGGCAGGCGAGACGAAGGCGTTCTGCGGTCACGGCGAGGAAAACGGTGGACAAGGTTGTGAAGAGTAGTGTGAATGAAGGGAGCGTCGAAGAGGAACGCGTAGAGGCGCCAAGAGCGGAAGTGGAAGTTGAGACGGTTGCCGGGGCCCGGGAAGAGTGGATTGTACCCAGCGGCGTCTCCGTCGAAGAAGAATATGAACGAGAGCAGGGGCGGACGGTGTTGTCCGTGCGGGAAGAAGGTGGAGCTGAGTGCTGGACGGAGTTGTCTGTGCACGGCGAAAATGAGGAAAGCGTGGCGGAAGAGCCTGCATACTGCTACGAAGAAGAAGCGGCGTGGGCCGTTGCGAGTGACGAGGAGGAGTAGATGTACCCTGCGGGGAAGACGGCGACCAAGGAGAGCGCCGAGCAGGACGAGCCGAGTGCAAGGGTGAACGGGGCGTGGGCCCATGATGGGGCCGCCCTCGATGGTAACGATGAAGAGACTAAGGAGGCCGAGGCGGCCAAGCTGGACGCCCCGCCGGCGATGAAGACCCCGCGAGTGGCCCAGACCGCAGCCCCGAGCGTGGAGTAGGCAACGAAGAGGGGACGGCGGCTGAGACCGTCGACTCGGCGTACGACGAGGACCGGTCCGTGAGGTCGGAGGAGTCGGCGTACTCCGAGGAGGAGGAAGTCGACGGTGATGTGTTCTATGCGGCCAGTGCGGACGATGAAGCGTTCTGTGCTGCGCCTCCGAGCGCGAACATACCCTACAAGGTGCCCACGGAGGAGGTGCCGCCGACGGAGTTGAGAGCGGTGCCGAGGTCAGTGACTGCGGCCCCTTTGCGAAGCATCCTGAAGAAGGAAGGCCCCCGTCCGCGTTGGATGGTGGAGGAGCCCTCCTTCGAAGGGTGGGGCGGCGCTGTAGATGTGGGGGACACACTGTTCGCCGAGTGGAACGACGACGGAGGATCGCCGGCCGGCAAGCACATCGCCGAGGAGAACGTCAACGTAGTCGTAGGGCCCGAGCCGGTGGCAGGGCCCGCCACCGAGTTGGCTGTCGCCGAGGAGGACCGAGGCGCTGCCGCCGAGAGCAAGGAAGTGCCCGAGAGTTCCGAGGTGGTCGAGGCGGCCGAGGACGTTAAGGAGCCGCCCGCCACGCTCGTCTCTTCACGGACGAGGAGCTAGACGCCATGGAGTGCGAGGCGCCGAAACCCTCCGTTCCAGGCATCAGTGAGGAGCTCGAGGAGTATGACAAGGAGCTGGAGGACAGGCTCCACCCCCTCGACGAAGTGGAGTTGATGCGCAAGGTGAAGGAGAATGCGGAGAGGGCCAAGGGCCCGTCCATGGAAGAGATGTCGAAGTTTCTGGGCGTCCCGGCCGAGGCGCTGACCAAGATGAAGGATGCCTCGCTCGAGGGCACGTCCTCGCCCGAGTACTGGGAGGACTGGTACAGGAACACACTGGAGAACTCGGCGGAGGCCAAGCGAGCCAACCGTGACTTCAAACAGTCACTGGTCAGCTGCGTCTCTCTAGAACGCTCGACCGAGGAGACAACGTATGAGTCGTTCGGCCTGTCGGAGTCCGACCTGGGCCCGAAGGCCTCGACCGTCTCGGTCGATGGCTCCGTGATGGAGGAGAGCGTGACTGCGAACATTGCGGTCCCCGTGGATGTCTGTGAGAGAACTGCGAGGAGATGGTCACTGCGGTAAGCGTGAATCCGCCCGTGGACGCTCCTGAACCGAGTTCGAGCGCTTCTCCGAGCGAGAGGTCGGAGGCTCGCAAGGCCGTGTACTTCTTGCTGAAGGAGACCAAGGACGAGATGTTGCGTGCGAAGAAGTCGGTCGTCGACCAGCTCAGAGAAGGCGGCACGGTCGAGATCCCCCCGATTCATGATAAGCCACCTGATCTAGACTGGGTGCGCCTCGTGCACGATGTTGAGCAAGTTGCTGGTGAAAATGAAGACCAAATCGACTGGCGAGAACCTGTGAAGGAATGGACGAACGAGTACTACAATGAGAACGCTACGTATATTTGGAATAAGCTACTAGATCGAGTTCGAGAAGCCCACTCGGCGAGTGCGAAGCGTCGGCTGCGGCGTCGCTTGCGGCGGCCCGTATGCTTTGACTTCACGGCGTTGTACCGCGATTCGGCCGAGGCGCTGGACGGGGAGCTCCGTCCTGAAGAAGACGACGACGCGACGCACTACGTGCAAGTGGTCCGTCCCGAGCGTCCACCGCCGGAGCGTGGACGGAAGACCGGGATGGTGGAGGTGGTAACCGTGAACTTGCCGGACGGCTTCGGCGTCCGTGCCGATGAGGACGATGATGAGTGTGGAGCCGAGCTCCCACGCGTAGTTGCCGGTGGTCGGCGTGTGGTGTGCACTGTGGGGAACTTCGAGGCGCTGTCGTGCGGGTACATCGACTGCCTGCCTTCGCAGATGTTGGCGGACACGGGCGCAACGCTCAGTCTCGTCGACTTCCGTGTTCTGAAGCGTCTGGGCCGAGCTGGTGAAGCTCTGGAGGCCTACGACGGGCATGTACGCAGTTCGTCTGGACACCGTCTGCGCATTCGGGGGTGGATCACTCTCCCCCTAATGCTGGGCAAGGTCGGGGTGACCATGCGGATGCTCGAGGCCGACAAGTTGCATGTGGACGCTATCTTGGGCGCCGACGCGCTGGGCGCGTTCGGAGCAGTGATTGACGTGGCTGAGCGGACGCTCATGCTGAAGAGCACGGGCGAAGTCTTATCGTTGGGCGTGATGGTGGTCCACGAATCGTTCATGGCCACGATGGCCGTGTCCGTCCGCTTGCCGCCAAGGGGCCAGGCCCTGGTGGTCACGGATGTGGTGGGCGATGCCCCGAACGCGACCGTCCTCGTCGAGGGCTCTCTCAACTTGCCGCCTTCGCTTTGCGTGGCGAGAACGCTCTGTACTGTGGACGACGGTCGAGTCGTCGTGGAGGTCTGCAACGCATCGACAGAAGAGTTCTGGATCAAGAAGGGCACGGTGGTGGCCTCGACGTCCGTGGTGCCCGAGTCGGCGTTCGGCTTTGAGCAGCCGTCGGCGGAGAAGTCCGAAGAGGCGCCTGCCGTCCGCCCGAGACTAGCGGGGCGGCCACCGTTGCTGCCAGTCGTGAAGAAGAGGCAAAGGGGCCGGATCTCGGCAAGACTGTGAGGGCGTCGAGGCCCGATGTGCCGCCCGACAAGGAGGTGGCGCTCGAGGCCGACTTCTCCCAGTCGAGGCTGTCGGATGAGCAGAAGTCGCTGTTCCGCAGCGAGCTGGAGCGCTTCCGAGACATGTTCGTGGAGTCGCCCAACTCGCCCGGCAGGACCGACTTGCTGAAGTTCCAGATTGATATTGGGGACAGCAAGCCGATCAAGCAGCAGCCCTACCACGTGTCGTTCGCCGAGGGCGAGGTGATGGAGGCGGAGATCCAGCAGTACCAGAAGCTGGGCTTCGTCCGGCCCTCGAACAGCCCCTGGGCCAGCTCCGTGTTGATGATCAGGAAGCCCGACGGGGACATCCGTTTCTGCATCGATTATCGGAAGTTGAACGCCGTAACGGTCAAAGATTGCTATCCTATGCCGCTGATTGACGACATCATGGACGTGCTGAGTGGAGCCAAACTGTTCTCGACCATGGACATCGCCTCAGGCTACTGGAACGTGCCCATGCATGCAGACAGTATTGCTAAACCGGCTTTCACATGCAAATACGGTCTATTCGAATGGTTAGTCATGCCCTTTGGCCTATGCAATGTTGTACCTGCTTTCGAACAGTTGATGGAGACCGTGCTTGTCGACCTCAAGAGGCGCGTGTGCTTGGTGTACTTGGACGACTGCGTCATCTTCAGCGAGGACTTCCCGTCGCACCTCGTTCGCCTTCGGCAAGTGCTGACCCGCTTTCAACAGGCCGGCTTCAAACTGAAGATGAAGAAATGCCACTGGGGCAGGAGTCAGGTCACCTTTCTCGGGCACATTGTGACACCCATGGGCATCCTCCCGAACCCCGAGAAGGTGAAGGCCGTCATGAACGTGCAGAGGCCGCGCGATGTGCATGATATCCGTTCATTTTTGGGGCTGACGAGCTACTTCCGCCGGTATATCCCGGGGTACGCTCTGATCTCTACGCCGCTGGAACGCCTGAAAATGAAAGACACTCCGTTCGTCTGGAACGAGGACTGTGAGGTGGCGTTCCGCCAGCTGAAAAGGGCGCTAGTCACTCCTCCTATCCTAGTCTACCCGGACATGAAGAAACGATTCAAGCTTTACGTCGACTCGTCGAGGTATGCTGTCGGTGCTTGTCTAATGCAGGTGGTGGACGGTCGAGACCGTGCTGTCGCCTATGCTAGCAAGTTACTGACAGGCTCTCAGAAGAACTGGATCAACAACCAAGACGGAATCTCTGAAATTGAATGCTGGGACATTGTCTGGTCTACGCGGAAGTTCCGCTGCTACCTAGATAAG